ACTTCGAAGTCACAAAAATATTGAGGGTAAGCCATTATAATTTTTTAATGCTTTCTGGGGGGGTGTGGTATAGACTGAAAAAAATGTATGCGCCCCTAACAAAAAAAATCTGATACATTTTGTATTAATAATTGTTCTATTTTCAAGAAAAAAAAATATTTTCATTGTTATTAAAAAAAATTTAAAAAAAAAATTATGCGAAAATAAGTACAATCTTTTTGTTCCTTTATCGCATTGTCTTATAAAAATCAAATCGTCGTCTGTCTCTCCAACGAAACATGTTAGGAAAAAAATTGATATGACATCTTCCTTATTTTTATAACTTTTATTTTCACGTACCCTCGATTCTCGATTCGTTTTGATTATACCCTCAAAATTTCGATAGACAATAATTCAAATAAAACACTATGTCGTAGATAATTATTATTGGTCCAGTTTTACGGAAAAGATAAATTTAATTATTATAAATCATAACAATATCGTAATCCAAACCTTAATCTTTAATTATTAAAATCCTAAAGATGTCATCGACCTGTAGACAGACAGCTAAAATAATCATAGTTTGCGGTATTAAAGACTGATTTTGAAAACAAAAATATTGCATTGATATACGTATACATTATGTGGTCAGCTTGTTTTGCACAAAACAAATTCATTGATAGGAAAATAGATATAAAAGGGGGAACAAGAGCATGTGGCTTTGTTTATTCTAATAAGCTCTCCTTTTATGTTGTAATACTGTCACGGTTTGAGATATTTTTTAAGTGTAGTGCTGAAAAAATGATTTTCGTTCGGGTAGGTAAGGCACCACAAATACTGTACCTAAAAGTGATCATCTATAATTTTTTATTGAAGATTCTGTACAATCATCATGTGGAAATATTAAAGTCCCTAGAAAGCATTCTAACTTCTAACAGAATATGTAAAAACAGAGTTTCTGATTATATCTCTGAAATGAGATACTCAGTTGTTTTTTTTTTTTTTTTTGAAAAGAAATGAATTCCTGGTGAAAATATAATATTTTTCTTTTCCAAAACAAATTAAGTTACAAGCTGTATCTAATATATTCGCTTGTTTACTGATAACCTTGTAGGTACCTAAATGACAGATTTGGAAAAAGTTTTAAAATCGATATTTTTGAGAGAATTCTTCTAATATCTTGTTAATTATGTAAATTGTTAATTTTATTGTCAATTAATTTTTTATAGCGTCTTTTTTTAGTAATAGGAGTATATTCTAATAAACTGTAGTCATAGTATGTATGTACAGGGTGGTAGATTTTCAATAATTTTACAGGGTACAACCAAAACGGTGATAGATACAAAAAAATCTGATATCGATGTCCCGTCCTCTTCTTTTGAGTTTACTTCGTTGGTACCAAAAGATCTTGGCTAACTTGATTAGTTTTAGATACACAGGATTTTTTTGAAAAATCGCCCATTTACATTAACGTTTCTATCTCCGCTATCATTAAATTTAGATTAGTTTTTCCGATATTTCATAAATATAGCTTTTTTTTAATAAAACATCCTCGTTCAATAGCATTTTTTTACCTTTTCAGCCATATATAATAATATATACTTTTTATTTGCCTAAATGAAGACGAATACTAAACAGATATCATGGCCAACTGAAAAAATACCTATACATTTTTGCATTTTTCTTCATTTAAGCAAATAAAAAGTATCTATTATATATGGCTGAAAAGGTAAAAAATGCTATTAAAGAAGGGTGTTTTATTAAAAAAAAAACTATGTTTATGTAATATCGGAAAAACTGTGCGATTTGTTAAAATCTGAGTACGCCAATGGCTTCCTTATAAAAAAATAGAACAAATAACGGTAATAATGGGAGATTTTTCTAAAAAAAAACTATATATCTAAAACTAATCAAGTTAGCCAAGATCTTTTGGTACCAGCGAAGTAAACTCAAAAGAAGAGGACATCAATATCAGATTTTTTGTATATGTCACTGTTTTGGCTGTACTCTATAAAACTATCGAAAATCAACCACCCTATACATAAAGACAGTTTACCAGTTATTTTGTGAAGTTAAATTATATTTGTTTTAAAATGATCAGTTCTGGTTGATATTTTCAAACGATTTTATTTTCATATTGTTTAACAAGAAACAAAATGTATAAAACATGATTACCGTCTGACCCGCGAAAATCTTTCTATAAATCCGTGACCTTACAGAATAATTTGGGTTTTGTAAACAGTTTAAAGTAGTAAAAGCTTGAAGATTATAAGGTAATGTTAAAAATACGAAAATATCTTTTATTCAGTTTAGCAGAAGATAAAATTTTAATTATTTAATTTTAACTATTAATCAGAAATATAATTGAGGTGAACCATGTGTACTTATCATCTAAAATAATTTTTTACCATATTAAATTTTAATATGAATAAAAATTCTTACATTTAATAGACGTTACTATACCAACATGTATTTTATTTATCACAATTTATCAATAAACATCGGGGAACAATGCAACTTCCTGTTTAATTAAATAAAATCTGTTATCCAAAACTATTTTGTACCACAATCATTATTATTCCATAAAATATTTGTAATAAATTTAATATGAACCGCTGTATTGTCTCGATATATGGTAGTCAAAGGATAATTTTTTCGAAGATCTTATTGGTTGGCTGCGTACAAATTTAAAAATAGTTTAAAATATACAGTGTCCCAAAAAAGGGTTATACATCAAAGATATACTTTTTTAAATATATGCTTTCTGTATTTTAATGCATTTATTAAAAAAGCCATCTTTAATAAAGGATTTACCGTTTTAGAGATATCCCAATTTCTTTTAAAAGTGTAGGTTTGAAGGAAAAAAAATCGATAAAAAATAAATTAATTAAGCAAGGCGGCTTTGGACAGCAAATTTTAGACCTTTTGGTGTATAAATAGTGGTATTTGCAATTGTTTAATATATACAGTGTTCCGTAAACTTTCATACAACTTTTAAATTGAAAAACTCTGGTGCGAGGGACATTCAATATGTACTTTAGTCAGTTTTATCAAAATTTGTAGATTATGAGTAAATATACAGTGATTCACAAATGGTGACCAAAAATGAAACCTCGTATTCTTTGGTGAATTTCCTATAAAGTTTTTTCCAGGGCGCTTCGTTAAAAAGATACAGGGTGTTAAACTTCAAAAAATATTTTTAATTTTTTTAAATAATTAAAAACTAGTAAGTGAAATAATTTGAAATTGGGCATATGTATTTATGTAAACATTGTCCAAAATTTGAGGACTTTCCTAAAATTTACATGCTCCAGTGGCGGAGGGTATCGGTGGCATACTTTTCTAAATAAAATAGTACGCCATTGCGTTACGGTAACAACCATGATATTTTCGGATTCGTCTTTCAATTGTCTACAAATTACTGCTCTCTTATGTTTTTCGAAAAAAGCCTGATTTTCGAGTAAAACTTAGAAAAACAACTGAAAACACTTTTATTTAAATGACATGACAAGCCCTGGGTTATTTATTTGAATAAAGAAGTTAATAACTCATTAGTCATAATTTTAATGATTTTATTTGAGTAAATGCTCAAAAATGCCTCCATTTCCACGAACACAGGCCCGACATCATTTTAGTAACGAAAATATAATTTGTTCCCAATTCATTGTTGCTTGAATCTGATGAAAAGCATTATTTATTGTTTCTTCTAACTTCTCAGATTGTCAAAGTTGCTATCGCAGCCCATTAATATGTAATTTTAAAAAGCGTTATATTCGAGTATCGAAGTGTGTTCTCAGTTCGATTTTTAAGTTTTACTCGAAAATCAGGCTTTTTTCGAAAAACATAAGAGAGCAGTAATTTTTAGAAAATTAAAAGACGAATCCGAAAATATCATGGTTGTTACCGTAAAGCAGTGACGTACTATTTTATTTATTTATTTTTATATAAAATAAGCCACCGATACCCTGTATCTCCGCCACTGGAACATGTAAATTTTAGGAAAAGCCCTCAGATTTTGGACAATGTTTACATAAATACATGTGCCCAATTTAAAATTATTTCACTTACTAGTTTTTAAATTATTTAGAAAAATTAAAAATATTTCTTGAAGTTTAACACCCTGTATTTTTTAACGAAGCGTCCTAGACAAAAACTTTATTGGAAAGACCCCTTAAAATTCACCAAAGAATACGAGGTTTCATTTTGGTCACGATTTATGAATCACCCTGTATATTTTTATTATTATTTTTCTAAAGAAATTGTTAGATGTGAAAATATTCTTGAAAAATAATTTGAAATCTAATATTTCAGTTTTGTTTGCAGTTTTAAAAACGTTAACTGCATCAAAAATGTACATATGGTTTCGAAATAAATAATATTTAAAATATAAGTAAAATCAAACTACATGTAGTAATATTTACAAAATGATAGTCATCAAAACATGTTTTTTTTTTCTAGATAAGTGAATATAAAACTGATTTTCTTCAGTGATGAGTGTTTTCATTATTTAAAGTATAATAATTACATATATTTTAGTATTGAATATGATTGTCTGTATTACTCAAAGTAATAGTTTATCTTCTAATTCTTTAATTCACTAACACATTTATAATGTCCTTTAACACATCATGACTTATTAAAATTAAGTTGCAATTGTATTATTTATTTTAAATATATTTATCCCATTCAACAAGAAATTTGTCTTTAATTGGATACTGAAATTAATTTCATCTCATTGTCAGCTCAACTTATTTCTATTATCCTCTTGTTAAGATCTCATTTTTTTAAATTTCTTTATTTGTTTTAATAACTACTAAATAAATCGTCATCTTATAAAATACATATCATTGTATGATAAGTGAAACTCTTTATTTAGCTATAAACATGATTAATAGAAAATTACTGTTATAGTTAATCGCAAATTCATTTATTTTTAACGTACTTATTTAAGGATTACTATGAAATATAGATCTCTTTTAATTCTTTCTTTTATGAGTATAATTTTTCTAATTTATTTACAGATGTGTCCCATATCAGGAATGGTCCAATTTTTAATAGTAATAGTAACATTACTTCTTGTTTGTCATGCTGTTGTCGTTAACATGCTCAAAATATCTTTTACACCAAGTAACGTCACTCTATCCATGTCAGACAGTCATCTGATATCTTATGAAATTACAGACCTTGGAAATATACCAGGTAAGCACAAGTTTTACTTGTTTGTTTCACCTTGCAATTTGAAATCAATCCAATTCATTAAATTAAAAAATATTTATGCAAAAGCAATATATTTATATTAATGTTTTCAGGTGACACCGAATTGTTAATATATAGCGAAGACAAAAATATAGCGTTTCTAGAGAAGGAAATAGTAATATCGAACCCCCTTCTGAATTTTGCTGGAACTTTTAACATAACAGGGAATTTTTTAGGTAGATTTCCCAATATTCCTAATATGTAATAACTTTTAATTGTAAGAATATTTTTTTTAAATTCATATTTTGTTACTGTGCATATCAGTTATAAAAATATAAAAATTGTAACTACCCTAGGAAAAACCATAATATCATGTAAGGATAGAAAAACTGGGAAGATAGCAGAAGATTCAATTGATGTGGTTGTCGTTCGAAAAAAAAGGTTCATCGACACTCTTTTCACAGCATCTGTAGCGACTCTTGTTAGTATACTTTACATCAATTTTGGTTGTGCCATTGATTGGAGTGGAGAATTCCGTAACATCCTTAGGAGACCAATAGGACCTGCAATTGGTTTTTGTGGGCAATTCATTGCAATGCCATTGGTTAGTAAAAAAAAATATATTTAGAATGTGTTTCAATGCTAGGTAGATATAAAATATTTATTTTCTAACACTTCAATATTTTTTTTAGAAAAGGGCATGAAATTTTGTACTTTTAAGAATTTTTACATTTCTTGGAGGTGCAAATTCTTTGATCATTTAAAAAAAAAATGGTGATTATTTTGCTGAACTTCAAATTTTCAAAAAGCAATGTTAGAGAAAATATATAGGCTTTGAAAAAAAAAATCTTTGTCAAACGAAGAAAATGTTTCATTTTTATAAAATTTGAATGTTTTACAGAATATTATTTCCTAAAAAATAATCAATTTGTGAATAATTTGTTTTCAATGTAAAAATTCCGTAAACTTTTATAACATGCATATTTTTACATTTCCTTAGAATAATATCATGAGATTTATATTATTTTTTCAAAGTTTGACCTCTGGCAAAATAAATTTTTTTTATAGAATTTGATACATAAATATTTTGAAAGTTGCTAATACCGTTTTTCAAATTTCGGGGGTATAAAAATCATAGCCTTTAAAAAAAATGTATTTTTTATGTTAACAATTTTCGTTATTTCTTTTTAATCTCATTAATGTTCATTTCTCGATAATAGCATTAAGATTAAGATTTTTATTATAATTTTAGTTTTCAGCACATACAAAGTACAAGAGAACATGATAGTAAATCTTATTTATTCTAATCCAACTATTATCTTTTCTCAACAATTATTGTTTTATTGACACATAATTTTGAGGGAGACAGTTAAATTAATACACACCAGTTTACCGTAAAAATTATAAAACCTTGTCAAACAATAATAATAATAATAATAATAATAATAAATAAAATTATAAGAATAAAATTAATAAACAAACACAAAGAATTGTTGATGATTTCAAAGTGTTTTTCATTGTTATTACTGTTATGTTTTAAATTATTAGTTTCTACAAAAATTGGTGCACTTTAATTGGAAATCTCGAATAATAATATTGTAGCATGAATGAAAAAAATTGTTGGGAACAAAAATGGGATTACAATAATTCGAACAAACACTCACTATCGTAGCTGGAGCATCGTAGCTACGTATTTGAAGTTTTGGAGGAAAAAACTTGTTTCCGCGTAAGTCCTCTATAATATGCTGAAATTTGTAATTTCAATAACACTTTATCACTTAGCATGGTTACTGGCGAAGAAACCAAAAAAAAAAGATCATCAAAATTATGTAAACATTTTGAGAAAAACAACAATCAACTTTGAAATTGTGACTCATTCTTAGTGATGTATTAATTTTGATACAAAATGTACCTCAAAAAATAAATACTCCATAGCCTTGTGTCCATATTATAAAAAATTATATTTCCAGCTTAGTTATGCCCTTGGAAGATTGATATTTCCTAACAACCCCGAAATGCAGCTCGGCATGTTCTTTACAGGGGTGTCTCCAGCAGGTGGTGCCTCAAATGTATGGGCAGTCCTTCTAGAAGGCAATTTAAGCCTATCGATAGTAATGACGACCATAAGCACCATTGCGGCTTTTGGAATGATGCCGTTCTGGCTTTTCACTCTCGGACAATTGATTTTTAAGAGCAGTGACCTTGAGGTACCTTATAGACACATCATGACTTACGTATTTGCTTTGGTGATACCACTAGGTATAGGATACCTATTGCAGAGGTATTTGAAGAGAGTAGCCCAGTTTATGACTCGGATTATAAAAGGATTCTCTTCGTGTTTAATTTTGTTTATAATTATTTTCGCTATCGTTACCAATTTATACCTCTTTCAACTTTTTTCTTGGGAGGTGAGACCTATTTTTTTATGACAATTGGATTTCAATATATATGGGTTAATGCTTTTGCAGATTGTTACAGCTGGTTTGGCACTACCATGGCTTGGATATGTTGCTGGTTATTTGTTGGCGAAGTTATTTAAACAACCGCCACCAGATTGTTTGACGATAGCTATAGAAGTAGGGATACAGAATACTGGCATAGCAATATTTTTGCTCAGGTTTGCTTTACCACAGCCCCAAGCCGATCTCACAACTGGTTAGTATCTTCTAGATAAACTATTACCACTTATAATATAGAGCCTTACAGCTGAACCTCATTATCTAGTGACATTACTAACAAAGTTTTAGGCAATTTCTAATCGCATATTGAGTTAACAATAATTTTGTCAACTAAGTATTACAAGATTAATATTATAAACTTGATTTTAAATAATTGTGTACCCAAATAGAGTACAAAAAATTAAGGAACATTCAACTAAAAAATAATGATATAAATTCTTAGGATACTTTTTCAAAAACTTATTAAGAGTTATTTAACTTCAAGCATAACCTCACGTTCGGCGCCATATCGCGGATCTTTGTAGGTCGGTTGTCTATCTTTTGTCATGTTCCACGTTGGGCGCCATGTCGCTGATTTTGCTCGGTTTGACTACTTATGGTGGTGTTGACTTACCATCATCTTCTCTTAGCATGTTTAGGGGTCATGAACCCTCATAATAGGTTTGAATGGAGTGTTTCTGTCTGGGTTCATTTTCACCTGCGGTGCTGGGATGTTAAGTCGCCTGATCGCCGATGAAGGAGGTCCCAAAAACTGGTGTACATTGATCTTTAGAAGCTTTCTAAGAATTGGCAGTGTAGAGAGCTGTGAATGAGAACGTTACGCTCGGTTTGGTAATTTTTAGGAGAATTATAACTCGAGATGAGGTTTAAACATTCATGAACTTTATTGATTTAAGTATATTGTGATACAAAGTATGCAATGTGGAAGTTGCTATACAACAGGAATCCTCGAGATTCAGTCGAGTACACACTCTGGTTAATAAGTTGCGGGAACCCTGGGTTCGTGTTTGCACACTGGTTGGGTGAATACCGTTAGGTGGCCTGATATGAGGGGTTGAAGGTCTGAAACTAATTTATGTTAATACAGACGCCAGGTCATTTAGGAGTCTGAATTTATAGTCTCTTGGATGTTATTTTTACTACTTTCTGGAAAGTAGGGCGAAAAATTTTGACACTTCTTGGCAACCTCAGGAAGAGAGTGGCACACGTTGTCCAAGAAAATGAACAACTCTTGATGGCAATCCTTTCATCTGGGTGGCTTGGCGGGTGAATTTTAGAAACATTGGTGAAACTTTTAGAAACGTTGATGAATTTCCTGTTGTCTGTTCGAGGTTAGAGGAGTGCAATGCTATGTCGACTAGACTTTCCATTCAAATCTTGGTAAATTATTATTATTTATTTATTTATTTATTTATTTATTTATTTATTTATTTATTAAACATCCAAACAGGCTGTGATAGCCTAGTTACATGGAGTGTAATTTATAACAAAATAATAAGAAATACTGATCAAGTAAACACAGTCGAGTTATAATGTACCTAAATAATAGTATCACTACAAAATTTAAAGTATGTACATACAGGGTGTATTTATTATCTAATTATATAGAAAACTGTAGGAAATGATCAACGAGCATATTGTAAAACAATTTATATGGGTTAGAAAAATCGAGATTAGTAAAAACGTTTATTGAATTTGCAAGTCGAAACATCGCAATGAGAGGGGCTCGGACGGAGACTCTAACGGTAGGGACATGAAACATTAACGGCATTAACATTATGTTTAAATTATGCCATTTTAAGAATCAATCAAGATAGTCAGGCAGATTTTAGTACTTAATATAAAAATGTGATTTTCATTTATATTCAAATTCTGCTTCATTATACTGCAAAATAATAAGTTAATAAGGTGCCCCAAAACGTTAGATACATTTCTTCTAATTTTTTATAAAATAACAGGCAAAAAATTTCTGATTTTCTGATCAATAAAAGCAATTTAAGTCCTTTAAGTCTGTAAAACTTTAATGATTTTTCGGTCACATACGTAGTTTGTTATCAGTAGTAAGTAGTAAGTGTAAAAAATTTGATAGAAATCGTTTAACCGAAGCAAAAGTTATGACAAAATATCCATTAAAAACAATAACTTTGATATGTTAACATAGAGTTTTCAAAAAAAGTGTCGTAAGAACTTGTACCATTATTTTTAAGACAGAATCACTTCCTAAAATGTTTGCACTTTATTTGGGATCACATAATTGTTATATGTGTGATACACATTTATTACAATATTTTATTTTCGTAATTTAAATCAAGTTGTAAATTTGAGGTTAGGCGGTAAAGATAAACTTTAGTTAGGTAATGGTGTAGTGCTGGGTTGACGCTTTCCGATAACAATAATGTGATAAAAAAATAATGTACTTTCCACCAGCTTTATAAGGAAAATATTAGAAATAAACCTAAAGTTATTGTATTTGATTTCATAAAGATGAAGCTTTGTGCAATTTACAGTACTCGGCAATCTCACATGTGCGACGATGTTCAATCAAGAAATCGAAATTCATTATTTGCATTATTTTTGCAAAAAACATAAATAATGCACAGTGACTGTTATTCGTAAAAATATTTTAGAAGAGTTAAAGTTTTTCACTTCAATTAAGAACATGATCTTTATCTCAAACCCATACTTAGCACGCCATCTGTTTTCTAAATATTTGTTTTAAAATAGGGTTTAATTTAAAATATTTATATTGTTTCTAGAAAATAGGTATTCTAAAATTTTCAAGAGCCGCTTTTCAGGAACTTAAAAGAAAATGTATACTTCAGTTAATATTGGAGTAGGTATATAGCCAGAACTACATATGCCATACGTTGTATTTAAATTATAATAGAGATAGAAATAGAAAGTTAACTAAAAGAGAAAGTTATATAATTTTTTTTTACATGCATAAGATTTATATTTGCTCAGAATAGCTCAATGGGGTTGAGTTGATAGGAGAATGGTGGCAATAGAAGTGTAATACCGCACACTTTTACCGTTTCCACTATATACTTCATGTATTTGGCTTTTCCTTTCTGTGCAACTGCTAATAATAGTTATACTTTTAATTTCGTTTCTTTATTTTCAATATATTTTGTATTCAACCATTACATGATTTATCCTGCTGTTCATGCAAATGTTGTCAATTTGTTTATTTGTCGACTAAGGTAAGGCACATTATTTGTGACAATCACCGCACTAATTTTATTATGAGGTAAAATAGATGATGATGATGATGATGATGATGATGATGATGATGATGATGATGATGATGATGATGATGATGATGATGATGATGATGATGATGATGATGATGATGATGATGATGATGATGATGATGATGATGATGATGATGATGATGATGATGATGATGATGATGATGATGATGATGATGATGATGATGATGATGATGATGATGATGATGATGATGATGATGATGATGATGATGATGATGATGATGATGATGATGATGATGATGATGATGATGATGATGATGATGATGATGATGATGATGATGATGATGATGATGATGATGATGATGATGATGATGATGATGATGATGATGATGATGATGATGATGATGATGATGATGATGATGATGATGATGATGATGATGATGATGATGATGATGATGATGATGATGATGATGATGATGATGATGATGATGATGATGATGATGATGATGATGATGATGATGATGATGATGATGATGATGATGATGATGATGATGATGATGATGATGATGATGATGATGATGATGATGATGATGATGATGATGATGATGATGATGATGATGATGATGATGATGATGATGATGATGATGATGATGATGATGATGATGATGATGATGATGATGATGATGATGATGATGATGATGATGATGATGATGATGATGATGATGATGATGATGATGATGATGATGATGATGATGATGATGATGATGATGATGATGATGATGATGATGATGATGATGATGATGATGATGATGATGATGATGATGATGATGATGATGATGATGATGATGATGATGATGATGATGATGATGATGATGATGATGATGATGATGATGATGATGATGATGATGATGATGATGATGATGATGATGATGATGATGATGATGATGATGATGATGATGATGATGATGATGATGATGATGATGATGATGATGATGATGATGATGATGATGATGATGATGATGATGATGATGATGATGATGATGATGATGATGATGATGATGATGATGATGATGATGATGATGATGATGATGATGATGATGATGATGATGATGATGATGATGATGATGATGATGATGATGATGATGATGATGATGATGATGATGATGATGATGATGATGATGATGATGATGATGATGATGATGATGATGATGATGATGATGATGATGATGATGATGATGATGATGATGATGATGATGATGATGATGATGATGATGATGATGATGATGATGATGATGATGATGATGATGATGATGATGATGATGATGATGATGATGATGATGATGATGATGATGATGATGATGATGATGATGATGATGATGATGATGATGATGATGATGATGATGATGATGATGATGATGATGATGATGATGATGATGATGATGATGANTGTAATAAAACAATAAAACTGTATTTATGATAAGTTTGCAATAAGGTCACATTAATAATTAAGTGCAGCTGATGTAATAATCCTAAATTCCTGTTTTCCATCGCGTTAGCTCTAGTCAAATTAAGAAATTTTATTATTTTAAGTTTACCATACTTTGCCACGTTGACAAGGCACTAAATTAATTGATCATCAGTTGACAGACATTTGACGTTTTGGTTACTTTCGATAGCAGTACCGCGAAATTTTTGTGTATTGGAATCGATTGGAAGCATGTAAAAAGGTATTTTCAGAATTAATAAATTAAGGCACTCAATTGCCGAAATTTTCCACGACCATTTTGTATAATTGCTGCCTAACTTCGTCGATATAGCGCTCAGTTTCCTCCTTCAAGACGTGAGTGGACATGGACTTGTTGCCATAAACCTTGGACTTCAAAAACCTCAATGTAGAAAGTCCAACATCGTTAAACCGCATGGTTAGGGTGACCAGTTCTGATCACCAAAATAGGAATTTAGTCGACCAGGAAATAATAATAATATTCTTTATTCATATATTGCATAAAAAAGAGACACATTTACTTAATACAAACAGAAAATTTATAAAAGGGCGAAGTTCAGCTGTGTTGTCCAGTGGGCAACACACTGTTCTTCCACTTAACCCATGCTAGATGTGCCACGGCATTTAAATCACACTTTAAATACTAAATACATACATACACATATATAGTAAAAAGAAAAGTAATAAGATATTAAACAAAATAGATACACAAGCGAAACAATTATATGAATGTAATTAGGTACTAGTTATTGAGAATTAAAAAGAAAGGCTTTATATATATTTTTTTAAACAACTGACAGACAGCGATTTGAGAGGCAACGGTAGGGCGTTGTAAATTTTTGGCATATTGTAACTGAACAATCTTTCAAATGTTGCAGTTTTTGTGAAGGACGGGTTAAATTACCTTTAAATCTGGTGTTTAAATTATGAACGTCAGTTCGGAATCTGATTTTATCGTACAAATATTGGAGCGGATTTATTTAAAATGATAGTCATAAAGAAAGTAGCACTGTGATGTAGACGGGTGTTTTTCATATCCAACCATTTTGTATACATTAGCTTGTGTCTTACTCAATTTCTCTTTCTAATACCATATATAAATCAAAGGTAGTAATTTTGAATTTTCTGAATTCGTTGAGATGTCGCCTGAGCTAAAAATGGACCATAAACAGTATCACCCTAATTAAACACAGATAAAACCAAAGACTGGCAAAGTAAAATTTTTAGTTTTTCACTTAAGATATGTCTGGATTTTTATAATATTTTCAAGATGCAAATCTTTAATTGAAACACAAAAATCCTCATTGACTTTCGATATGTGTAATTATTAATCGCCATCCTTTCCCAACGGGTACATTTAATCCCATAGAAAATCCTTCTAAAAGTCTTCTGTTGAAATTTAAATAATAATAATAATAATAATAATAATAATAATAATAATAATAATAATAATATATTCTAAATATTTTCTTCACCTACTGTTTACTTCGTTCCACTGCCTATTGTTTTCAACCTGGAGTTTAAAGGACAATACACATTTTGTACCTATTATTTTTGTAATTTATTGTACTAAATGTTTTGAAATAATGTAATAAAATTAAGACCCTTTTAACTTTTGATGAATGATTAAAATGATTTTTTTGTACTGTGTTTTTGAATCAATCTTTCATCAATGCAAAATAATGTTCCTATGCAGGTTTGATTTTAAATAATATAATAACAAATTACTGATGCTAATTATAAATGGTAAAGGATGGCATTCCCAGAGCCTAAACTTACTTTACCGAGTGATATAAATCTCTCACTAGTAGAGTGACGTCACATGCGAAACTTTGAGGCTTTTTAATGTGGACGGTAATAATCATACTTTACTATTTTTTTTAGTGGTTCCAGTGGCAGTGGCCATAATGACGCCTTTCCCGCTCTTGGCTATTTTTATATACAAAAAAATTCGAGCGAGGTCAGTGGTAAATAGCTTACGTTTTCTGAATTTATTTTTGATACTTAATTACTGCATTTCAGGTTGTCAACATCCTCTGCCAAACTGAATGGAGACAGTGGAAGTTTTCCAAAAATTGACGGGAATTGTAATGGAGTCACTGATGGCTCCGATGAGAAGTTGACTTCAGCCACAAGGCAGATATTTAGTCGTGATTATGATTATTAAATAATTTTGTCATTTTCTGTTGATGAAATAGATTTTTTAGTATTCAGTATTTTCTATTAAATATGTATATATTTGACATTTATTTATTTTTCATATAAAAAACTTAGAATCAAATATTTTGTATATAAAAGTAATTTTATAATTTTACTAGTAAAATATCACAACATACATTTGATTTTAAATTTTACCTAATCAGATTCTTTAAAAGTTTCTCTTTATTGAACAATATTTGTATGTGAATAGTAAAAAAATTTTAGTTTTGTCTAAAACTGAATCTAATAATATGGGTTTTTTTAATTACCTTTAAATTTGAAACAATTTGGTGCACTTAAGACAACTACCAAAAATGTTCCTTAAACTTGATGAGAAATTTTCGTAAATATTACTCTAAGCATTATTTTCTTTGCAAAACGGGAATGTATTACTAATTTTTTTTTTTTTTTTCCCTTTAAATATTAAAGCACCTGTTTGTATCTATTGTTAATTATTAAAAAAAAATGGTTTCTCTTAAGAAACATTGTGGGTCCCATGTTTCATTATCAAACTATGGCAACTTTAATTTTCACCAGCTGCCACTAATATAACGGATACACAGAGCCTTCATAAATGATTACAAGCCACGTGACCAGTAATTTTATTTCCTTCACGTTGGCAATTAATTTTGGTAAAATTAAATAAATAAGATTCAAGATTACATTAAAACGCAACATACTGTTCCACTGGCTGCTGATTAGTGTAATTTTTCATGAGATATACAACCAATCAGCGATCGCATTATCTCGAGCGTAGACATAACGGCTTGTTATAGTTTATTGTGAATGAATCATCGATCTTATAGTACTAGATACCGCATAGGCTATCTAACAGCATTGAGATTGTTTTGATACGCAAAGTCGTGAACTAGGAGCTCTGCGGGATGAGGCGGGGAGTAAAAATTTGATGTTAGTCCTTTACACCAGTGGCGTAATACATTAGATTGGTTCATTAGGAATTTAAATTACAATTTAGTACTAAATGCAAGAAGTTTTATCTTCGGAAATAATTGAGTCAAACTTAATTTTAAAGCAGTACATCTTGACATAATAAAGACTGTGGTTAGCAAAATATATATATTTTTTCAAATGATATGGGGTTATAGGAACTGTAGCAAAATCAGTGTTTACAATTCTTGTTATGGGAGAAAATTACGGAATGACTAAATCTTCATTTGACTATTTTAGTATAGTTATTTACTAATGACTAATTTATCAACATCTAAGTTTACATAGTGTACTCGTATATTATGTTAAAATATGTACTGTATCTCACCCTACTTTTATTAATATATATGCTTTTCAAAAAGCATTTTTTGTAGCAGACGGTTTCTGAGACTGATGTGAGTAACTTATTAGTTTTGCAATTTGATGGTAATGTAAAGTTAAAGTTTACAGTGCTCTTCCAACATCTCGCTTTTAAGGAAATTAGTGTCAAATAAAATATACCTATTAAGATAAAATTTTTATTAATTGTTAAGAACTACTATTAAAAGAAAGTAATGAATAAATAACAAAATAAAGGATATAAACTACATATGTAAGTTATTGTATATTATAAAAGTATTAACAAAATAAAATAAATATATTAGTACCTACATTTAGTATTCTAAATGTAGATACTACATTTAGAATACTATTCTTCTATTCTAATTCTAATTGCAATTAATACTGTGACAATATCAATAAAAAATTTGTTTATTAATTTTTAAATAAAATTGTTTTTGTCAGTAAGCTTCTGACTCTGTTTTATACATTATCTTTTAACTTAAATGTCTCGTGATGCACTCTAAATCTTGAAATAATTTTTTAAAATTAGTTTTATTAATTGTAATGGGTGCTCATTAAACGGATCATTTAATATCGTAAATAAATTATATTAATGTTCAATAGTATTCCAAAGGTGTGTTACACCTAAAAGAATCTACGCCCATGTATGCTTACAAACTTAACGTATGATAACGATATGGCCTATCCTTTTTCCCATAGTTACGTATATAATAATATGGTATTAATAACTGTCACAAAATCACCTCACACACTCAAAACTATAAAACACAACAAAATTTGTAAGTAAAACTCAAGACAAACATATAAGTCATTAATTAGAATATATTTTCTATGAATCTATGATGTAAACAAATAATGTCGAGCATGCCCGAATAAGCAGCCAATCAAAAGTAAAGGACCTTAGGATACCCCCCTTGAACAAAACAAATTGGGCCTATGCAGTATCTAGTACTATAAGATCGATGGAATGAATCATTAATTTTAGTTATGTTAAGATGTAAGTATTTTAAGTTGGTAGTACCAACCGTGCATTGTTGGTTGCCTAAGCTTAGAAGTCACGTGGCTTGTAAACATGAAGGCTCTGTATTTAAATAAGGAGGATAATGAAACCAAAATATGATAAAAGTGGTGATACTTTGATCACGAAGTTTAGAGTACATACCATTTTTGATGATATCTAGATCTACATAGAGAACTTTTTTGTTGAAAAAAATTTCACGATGTCGTTACATATAAAATTAAAGTATGGTTATAAGATGTTGAAAAGGAAGCACATAGGTATATATGTGTTTAAAATATTTTTTCTCATATTTAAAGTACGATGGTGTTTTGGGTGCCAAGGCCTGTGCACCTCATCGCTGCCAGTTACAGAATTCTTTAACCTTAGCTAAGAATGTTTGACTTGACCTTGTTGAGAACTTTCATGAACTTAATAAAATTTGCGAAATAAAATTTAAAATAGGGGTGATTAATCCTGTTATCTGGGTCTGAATTATTTGTAAAATATATATTTTTTCATAATCAGCAGATAGGTAACTTCCTAATATTAATAATAATAAAGTTCTTTATTGGTTAAAATTAGTGATGGCTAAATGACTGATGACTTAAAAGTCAGTAACTTTTAATCATTTTCAAATGATATTTCTTTGAATTGGTCCTTTGATCCCTTTCTAAATTGTTTTTGTACTTTATAAAGCAACAAATGCCTTATTACGTTTAAATCTCCTGCATATCATATTTTAGGAAAATTACATTGCACATGCCTTTGTCCGTTATTTGAAAAACTTAAAAATAACCACGAAATGTTATCCTTGATCATAAAGAAAGAACAATTATTATTGACAACTATAAATAATGATTTTCATGATTTATTGGAATGTAGAAAAATAGTGGTAATTTCAAATGTTTATTAAGTGACCAAGAGGTTGATGAAATGAACCACTTATAAGTTACTCCTTGTAACAGATTTTCAGAAAAATGTTTGCAGTCTTGTGAATAAATTCAGTATTTTTGATATTTTGTACAGATATTCATTAGAAGGTGATGTGTTGAATTTTGATTACATAGCTACACAAAAAAATTGACTTTCGGGCCCAGAAGTTAGACTATGTTTATTATAAGTTTTTTTTGGTCACCGAATCCGAGGTCCATTTAACCCCATCACCTCAGGATTTTTCAAAACCGATATTCTGGACAATTAAACCATATAACCTTAAGACTCAAGCTTCCAACACTAAATCCAATTTAACTAAATCTCAAACATTTAATGGTATCCCAATCTAATAAGCCCACGAACTCAAACCCTAATAACCCTATAACCCCATAAACAAGGGAATAAATCATAGGTATTATTGCAAAACATCACATATCTGAGGACTCCTTGAAATCCCAAGTACTCAAACCCAAAAAATTTCCATAACCCGTTACTTCATAACCCTATAACTCCATAAATAATAAATCATAGACAATCTGTATTATGGCTAAACGTTAACATGGTTGAGGATTTCTTAAAAACCTATGCACTCAAGTCATTCTAGTAATATAATTTTTTGGATTATCTGCTGTTATTCTTTGGATTTTCATTTTGTTTAATCTAATCAAAAGAGATTCTCAACATTAATCATTCATTTATTTATTTTAATTTTATTGATTAATTTATAGTATGGTCTATCCTAAAAATTATTTTTTTTTCAAAAGCTCTTATGAGAGCTATATGATGTAAGAAATCAGATTGCGCAACCACCTCGTGATGTACATCGGGTACTGCTAATGCCTACCAATTAGTTATAAAAAAAAACTAGATCGACTGTAACACTCGGTTCTTTGGTGAATGAGATCAAAGTACAAGGTAATGAAGTTGTGGTTGGGGAATCGTGGGGTTATAAATTGTAGGGTCATGAGGGTTTTGGAGTTTGAGTGCATAGGTTTTTAAGAAATCCTTAACCACATTAACGTTTAGCTATAATACGGATTGCTTACGATTTATTAGTTATGGGGTTGTGAAGTTATGGGGTTATAGGGTTATGGAATTTTTTGGGTTTGAGTACTTGTGTTTTCAAGGAGTCCTCAGCTATGTGATGTTTTGCATAATACAGATTGCCTATGAATTATTCTCTTAGTTATGGGGTTATAGGGTTATTGGGGTATTAAGTTGGGATATCATTGGGTTAAATGTTATGGGATTTAGTTAATTGAATTTGGCGTTGGAAGCTTGAGTCTTATGGTTATATGGTTTAATTGTTCAGAATATCGTTTTTTTTTGTGGTTTTAAAAATTCTTGAGGTGATGTTGTTAAATGGTCTGACCTCTGGGCCCAAAAGTCGATTTTTTGTCTGGCTGTCACTTGAAAAATTTTTTTAAATGCTTTGTGACTATTCAGGATAAGAGTACTGTGATAGTAACAACTTTTACTCCTTTGTTTTTATATTTTAACTATCTGAAGCGTTGCGATCTGTATGTTTCTTTTAACTATTTTGACATGGTGTTTGAAGTTTATCTTATTGCCTAAATGAGACAACTCCCTATTTCTTCATATAAATTTTTTCTTAAAGTTAGGGCATTATGAAGTTTGACAAAAGGAACATTAGTATATCAAATTAAAATTTAAATAGCATTCGTAGATTTAATATTATGAAAAATTAAAAAAACATCATCTTGCATCTTTCTTCTCTATGTAGCCCTAGAAGGCTAACATACAAACTAATCTTCACAAGTTGCTATTGGTTTCGTTATACAGGGTGTATCTAAATAACACCGAAAAAATGTAAGGGGTGATTCTCTGATGAAAATTAATAGGGGTCTCTGGTATAAAATTTTTTGAAAACACCCCTGAAAAGGTCCAAAAATTAAAAAAAAATGTTTTTCTTTTTTATCTTCCATGTGTATCAAGCTAAAGAAACCAAACCTGGTGAACATTATCTTTAAAAAAAACTACACTCTAAAATTTTTTCAACCCTGAAATATTTTTGTAAGGGGTTGAAATAGTCAACCCCCGACATTTTTTCTTATAATTTTTTGAGGGTTGAAAAAATTACAAAAAGTTTAGTTTTTTTGACAGATAATGTTCACCAAGTTTGGTTTCTTTAGTGATATAGGGTCGTAACTTTTCAGGGGAGTTTTTTTTTAATTTTATGCCAAAGACCCCTATTAATTTTCATCAAAGAACCGCCCCTTACATTTTTTCGGTGTTATTTAGATAGTAGCATTAGTAGCACATTACTGGAGGTATATACATATTGAAAATAAATTTTATGTGCTAATAGAGAGCTATACTACCTCATACCAAAGTTGAAAATAATCGATTTCACAGACTCGCATACAAAATTATTTTCTTTAATTTCAATTTAAGCACCCTGATCGGCTTGGACATCAGTGATCAATTTTGCCCCAATTATAATATTTTGGTCTCGAGAATATCTGGTATTTTTAAATAAATCCTGTATTTGGTTGCTTGCAAGTACTAAAAAGCCAATTCATCAAAATGATTATTAAAAATATTCTAAAATTGTAAATTCATAATTGAGTTGAAGATAATATAAAATTTGAATAACATGTTTAAACTAATATAAACAAAACTTTATCAGATATTTATTTTTAAAATATATTGATCAAGGTTACATCAAAGTGTGTTAATGTCATATTAAATTATGCGAATGGTAATTTTTATTGCTGCAAAATATTGAGTCATAGTTCCACTACATCTAACTGCTTTCACATGTCAGAAGGTCACCTTTATTACCCGACAGGTTGTTATTGTTTTCATAATTGTACAGTATTTAGTAACTACTATCCAATAATTCACCAAAAAAGAAGCAATAAGTAAATGGTATAACATGTTTAGTTGACAATAAAAGAGAGATAAAAGGAGAATTACGATGATTAGAGTGCATTAGATTTAACAAATCTTATCTTAAAAAAATGGTAAATGGAATAGTTTGCATTTTGATTACTGTTTTAGTGCAAAATGTGATAGTTACTAATACCGCTTCTTTAAAGTCAGTTCGCTGCATTTAAATATTAGTGTTTAAAGCTGGAACACAATTACAGAAAGGTATGTATATATTATAAATACCTAATTTTAAATAATAAGAGATGAATTTAAAAAATGAAAATTACTTTTGAAATATAAATAAGAAGCATTTTTTATTATATTAATTTGTTTTGCCAAACTAAAAAATTATCAATCAATTTTTTTCAGATGAATTTCAAGTTAATGATACTGTCACTATTTTCATTCCTTACCGTTCAAGTTGTTACAGTTAACGCCTTGACAATATCTTTTATACCAAATAATGTTACAATCCATGAAGATGATATTATAACAATAGAATATAATGTTACGGACTTTAATGCAACAGAAGGTGAATCTTTTTTAATTTACGTTTATTGTATGTGTAATTTAGTCTTTTAGATGAAGAGGAATTTATTATTGACACTGAAGATGAGAATATAGTCTCTATAGAAAGGGATGTAATTTTATCACATCCTCAATTGAATTTAAGAGGACTGTTTAATGTAACTGGAAAATTTTTAGGTAGATACTATACTTTTTGATATAAGATGATTTATATTCAGAAATTTTAAATTTTTAGGAAAAACTACAGTAATTTGTAAAAATGTGAAAACAAACTTACGAGCTAATGGAGATCTGAGTGTCATTGTAATTAGAAAGAACAGAATAATTGACACTGTTTTCACAGTATCGGTGGCTATTTTTGTTAGCATAATTTATATAAATTTAGGATGTGCTATAAACTGGTCAGAAATCCCAACTATTCTAAAAAAGCCTATTGGCCCATCTATAGGATTTTGTGGACAGTTCATTCTGATGCCTTTGGTAAGTTATCAATTACTATTATTAGCTCCTTATACATTTCACAAATTTTAAAAACAGAACCTGTACAGCTTCTACGCAAATCTGTAATTAGTTTTTGTTATTAAGGTTATTTATCACTATTTTTCCTTATCATATGTCTCGGGATTTCACACGTTAATCTATTTTTTTTTAATATTCTGGTACCTTAAATACCTACCTGAATCTACAGCATAGTATAGGTTTTAATTGGGAAACTTCACAATTTGACAGACCAAATTATCTTGAATAATAAGTGTCATATTAACGTAGGTCACAGTTCACTTTATTTTAGATACAGATTATCGATATTTTTTATGAAAATTTCAAAATTTCTGCATCAATGATTTTTTATTTTTTGACACATTACGTTATACAGTGTGTTTCACTCGTTGTAACACCTCCGTATTTAGGTTATACTGTTTGATATATTTTTTGATATGTGATCTTTTCTATAGCCTACTATCATTAAGAAAAGACCCTCAAAAATTAAAAAACATATACATTTTTTTAAGAAAGAAATGTATAGCATTTTCGATTTGATTACACCTCAAAACCCTAAATTCAAAGTTTCATTATTACAGGGCATTCACAAAATAGGTGCAAACTTCGAAAAATTGTATTGTATCCTGTATTAACAGTGGAAAATATTTTCAAGATATTTCTTCATAATTTTATTAACCGAAGGTATATCCATGCAGTTTCATTGATTTCACTCATTCAGGGTGCTCACAATAGGAAAATCAAATTATATATATTTTTTGTTATACCAGAAATGAGTTTCACAACGAAATAATATTTATTACTATTTTCTTTTAGTCCACCATCATTTGACATGCACTGTTCAATTAATCTCCTCTTATTTCTAATAACTCTCCTCAACTGATGTGGTGTTATTTGTCGACATGCTTGTCAATTACATAAATCTTCTCTGTTCTGGGGCCTTGTTTTATACATTATCTTTTTCATAGTTCCCCATAAAAAGAAATCAAGAGGCATCAAGTCTGGAGCTCTTCATGGCCACTCAACTAACGGACTGTTGCGACCTATCCACTTTCTCGCGGGAAATACTCATTCAACCAATGATGTATTATTATCGCATTATGAATAGGTGCTCCATATAATTGAAGGTAGAAATTCTGTCTTACATGAAAAGGAAATGCATGTACTAAATCCCAGAAATCATTATTTAAAAAATTCATAAAAATCTCTCTTTAGATTAACATAAAAAAAAAGAAAAGCCCCATTATTTGATTACATAAAATCCCACAAAACACGTAAATTGTTTTAATTAAGATTTATGTAATAGAATTAGACAAATATATTGACAAATAACACCACATCAGGAGAGTTATTAAAAATAAGGGGACACGAATTGAAGAGTGCATACCAAATATGATGGTGGTGGAATGATAGAAAATGGTAATATTTAAATATTATTTCGTTGTGAAACTCATTTTTGGTATAAAAACAAAAATATTTAATTTGGCTGTCTTATTGTGAGCACCCTGTATGAGTAAAATCAATTAAACTGCATGGATATACCTTCAGTTAATAAAGTTACGAAAACATCCTTCAAAATATTTTCCAGTATTAATACAGGACACTGCAATGAGTGAAATTTTTCGAAGTTTGCACCTATTTTGTGAATACCCTGTAAAAGCTATAATAATGAAACTTTGTATTTAAGGTTTTGAAATATAAGCAAATTGAAAATTTCTTTCATAAAAAAATGTCCAATATGTTTTTTAATTTTTGAGGGTCTTAATGACAGTAGGCCGTAGAAAAGATCATATGTCAAAAATAGACCTTTTTGAGTACCTACTACCACATAAAAAAAAGAATTTTGGAAATCGGCCAACGCCATTCTAAATATGGAGGTATTCCGACTTTAAGTGAAACACACTGATGTAAAATCATATTTCTAGCAAAAAATCCCATAAACTGTTTCTGAAAAACAAATAGCTTTAGAGCTGAGAGTTTTCTTAACTGTGTATACTTTTGAAATAGAAAAATTTAAAACTCTAAATTGGTTCCTTCTTCAACAAAATAGAAAAGCCATTGTAATGAAAAGCGCTAATTGAATTTACAGAAGACATCTGAATTCTGAGGCGTCTAGTGATACTGATTCCCAGTATCTTTACTAGCTGACGTATTTGTAGGTCAACAATGAATTTTTACTTCTGAGTAGAAAAATCCGTGGCTTAAGTTTCATCAAACAACCTCAGACATATTTCCAAAAATGCGATTTTTTTTTTTTGTAATATCAACATCGGTACCTCCAAGATGAGGCGAACTATGACCCAATTTCATATGAAATAAACAAATTGCAAATTTTGCAAACATCTGTAGCAAAATTTGTTCTGTCACCTGACGAAGCAGAAATAATACAAAATTATTTCATAAATATGCATTCTAGTAAGGCTTGACCAAACAGTCTGTGTGCATCTCACAGTTCAAGAAGAGAGTTCACAGTAGGAGAGACAAAGAAAACCTTAAAAGTAGGGCAGTTACATTTTGTGCAACAATTTTACATAGAAGCATAATATATATAGTTAATCACGGTTTTATATTACACAATTAAATATATAAACAAATTACCTGTACTAGACCTTATTGTGCATCGCCGTTTTGTGCCTCTTCTGTCATAAATTTAAATATACTTTGTCTTTGTGCACTTAACACTTTACAGTTCACAAGTGATTTGAATTCCATAGTTCAGACAACTTTTTCTCAGACTGTACTGATGTTCAGAGTGCAAGGTACTGACAGAGAATAAGCCCCAGTGCTAATCTGGTAACATTGCCACTGCGCATCTGAAACTCGCCGAAAAAATGAATTTGATCAAGCTTTATGTTCATAATATTTCTAACATTTTGAAAATAAAAGAATTTTTATTTCAGCTTAGCTATGGGCTTGGACTAATTTTATTTCCCGATAACCCAGAAATGCAACTTGGGTTATTCTTTTCGGGAGTTGCACCACCTGGCGGGTCCTCAAATATCTGGGCAGTACTTTTAGAGGGGAACCTTAGTCTATCTATACTAATGACAACCACAAGTACTGTTGCTTCTTTTGCAACAATGCCTCTTTGGATTTTTACTTTGGGAAAAGTGATTTTTGACAAGGGAAATTTGGAAGTACCCTACACTCAAATTACTACTTATGTATTAGCATTAGTCATTCCTTTAGCCATTGGGTTCTTTATTCAAAGGAAGTATAAACGTTTTGCTGATTTTATGAAACAAATACTGAAAGGATTATCCATTGTTCTTCTTTTGTTCATTATTATTTTCGCATCTGTAACTAATATCTATTTGTTTAAACTGTTTTCATGGAAGGTAAGCATGAGAAGGGTTTCTGTTTAAAATTACCCAGCCCGATATCTCGAAAATCAAAAGGTATATCTAAGTTCTGTCAAAATATTGTGTAGTACTACTTCATAAATAATTATAAGCCATGTGACCAGAAATTTTATTTGAAACAGTAATTTTATTTCCTTCACGTTGGCAATTAAATTTCGGTGATTTTAAAAATCACTAAAACAATATCAAGATTACAATAAAACAAAAACATTCTGTTTCACCGGCTGTGATTGATGTATGTAACTTTTCACGAGATTCTATTCAACCAATCAGCGATCGCATTGTTACCGTTTGTTGTAAATGAATCTTTAGTATTGGTGACGCGAAGATATAGGGATTTTTCATTACCAGTATCAGTCGTGTAATGTTGGGTTGCCTAAGCTTGGGAGTCATTTGGCTTGTAAATGTTTATGAAAACTCTAGTAATACACATAAATAAGTCAAGTTTCACGTCACGTTTGAATTTTTGTAAAAGCCTTTGTCGCCAGATATTTCTCATCAGGAACTTCATTTATGAAATTATTAAGTCGTTCTGGCGCAAATGTTTTTGCCTTTTTAGCTATATGTTTCTCTGATTGACGTTTAGTCACAAAAAACTATTAATTACAAAATAAACAAGAGTTGCTCAGAACTTAATAGTTTTTCTTGTAAACAACTTTTTAGTTCCTGATTTCAAAAAATTGCTTTGGATCACACCCCCATCTACAGCGCTATGAAATGTAACGTGATTTATACTCAGAATTGAAGTGATTTATGTGTACCATGTATATTTTTTACATTATTTAAGATATTTCTGTTGTTTTTTACAATAATGTTATAAATGCAATTAATCTAGATATCAAGTAATCAAGCTAGTAAAAATCATTTGAAGGATAATTCAAAAAGTTATGGAAAAATGTTTTAACAGGTTTTTCATTTTTTTTTATGATTTGATGAACATGTGAAATTTTTAGATTATCGTAGCTAGCATGGCACTGCCTTGGTTGGCTTATGTTCTGGGCTATTTTACAGCATATCTATTTGGACAGCCATATTCAAACAGTATAACCATTGCCATGAAAATCGGTATCCAAAATACTGGTATACCAATATTTTTACTTAGATTTGCATTGCCACAGCCCGAAGCAGATCTAATTACAAGTAAGTTCTAAATGTTGCAGCAATACCAAAATTATAGTAATTTTCTTTTAGTTGTTCCAGTTTCGGTATCGGTATTTACACCGATTCCCTTGATATGTTTATTTATTTGTTTAAAAGTTTGGACAAGGTTACAACAGTTATATATTAGTGCTATAATCACATTTTCTAATTATTTTGTTTTTAGATTGTCACAGAAAAAAAGAGAACTGAAGAGTAATACTGGTATTGATAATTTGGCTACGTGTACTTAAAATGATTTTTTTTTCATCGTTGCAAATCATTTTGTAATTTATTCTAGAACAATGAATATTGTAATTTTCTTGTAAAAATTTTGTACTGAAAATTTGTTAATAAATACTTTTTTTAGTAAAATACTTTGAATTTAAAAAATAAGTACTTATGTCACATGTTGCAATAAAAATGCCTTTTCTTCTTTTAAAATAGTTAGATCTCGAGTAGAATAAGAAGATTGAATTTGCTGTTCCAAAATTATTTAGTTTAAGACACCAAATTGGCTATATTATCTGCAACCATCTTTACATAATTTTTTTTGTCGTACAGGAGTTCATTCAAAACCAGAAACTGAAGGATTGCAGGAGAATATTTATTTAATCCTTTTCAACCTACACAATTATTGATCCATCTTAGAATTTAAAAAATTCACATAAACATAATTGCTAAAATCTTTTGTTTTCCACGCAATTTGGTAAATTTATTTATTTATTTATTTATTTGAAGATAGGTACACTATTGTACAGGTTTATACCCAATTACAGAACAAGAGGGTGCAGATGGAAAATAACTATTAAAAAACAGTCAATCTAACAGAAGGTAATAAAATTAATGTTATGTGTATTATTAAGTATTTATGATTTTTTACAATAGCAAATTACAAAAAAGCATTTTATTTGTGAAATTGACACATAATTTAAAAATGTTGTTTACTTTAAATGATCTATATGCAAGGTTAATATTTTCAAAAAGAATGAACCGCCAACTCGTATGCTTCCTGTGTCTCTATAATGTGTACCAAATTTGAATTATATACCTTATATCACTTCTTAAACAATCAAGAACTATTTCAAAAGATTTAACACCCTGTAACTTTTAAACAAAGTATTTTTGGAGTAAGGTAAGACTCGTCAACTGTTTTTACCTTAGGAGTCTGTAGTTGCTGTATTACCACTGTTTTCTAGGACACCCTAAATATTTCATGCTACGTAAATTATAGTGGCAGCTAGTGAAAATTAAAGTGGTCATATATTGACAGAGTAAGTGTGGGACTCATACGATTTAATCAGCGATGATTTCTAACACTACAAAGAGAACTTTCATGAAAAAAAAATAAAAATTCCAGAAGAAATTTGCAAAATAAAAACCCTGGGCTCCCAAAAAGGGTGGATCATATATTTGCAATTTTGTTTTCGTAGTCTACTAATAGATAAAAACAGGCATTTTTAATAGTAATCAAGGTGGGCATAGAGCAGGGGTCGGCAAGTATTTTTAGGTGGGGTCTGGATACTTTTAAAAATTTTTAATGAAGTCCAGAAAAAAAAATTCATATTTCTTACAAATTTTCATTTGAACTCAAATTTAATCTGCTTACTAACCATTAAGAACTCAAACCATTCACGCAATTATAAAATACTAGAAAAAATTATAAGGTTGGCACTCAAACGTAAAAAAAAAAACATTTTTTAAATAATTTATTTGAGCAATTTATACTTTCAAAAAATTTTTGGCGGTCCAGTATTTTACCTTCCGCGGTCCGCCAGTTGCCGACCCTTGGCCTAGAGGTTTTGATCGCGGGTTCGCCCCCACAGAACCTGACCTGAGAGCAACAAGAAGTCAATATGACTCCTAGCTAAAGTTAAAGAAGTGCAACATATTTCTGTAACTGTAACATTCCGAAAAATCATTGTACAGTAAATATAGCTGTTTTCCTATTTTTTCAAAATAGTTCAATTTTGTCAAGAATGAAGACAGAAGCTGTCTCTTTGTCTCTATCAGTTGATTATTACAAAAAACATGCTCAATTATATGCAACCCTTCTTGGAATCTCAGGGTTAGTAATCCCTATTAATTTTTTATTTTACAAATTCCGTTCAAAGTTTTTTCGTCATAAATGTTCTCTTTGGGAGCTTACAAATCATTCCCTAAAAAATTATATGAGCCACACAATATTCAATATAGTTTGTTAAAAGCAGAAAAATATGCAATAAATTTAAATATTGGAAAGAAATTTTTACTTAATCTTAATTTCTAAAACCACTTCAGTGAAGCAGCGTCTCAATTTTTTTTTAATATTTTCTGTTATGTCCAAATCTTTATTAGAATTTTTATCTTTTCTATGTCATATGTACGTTTAATTAAATAATAATATTAATGACAATGAAAATGATTTATTATATAATAATAATAATGTGCCTTTATTAGATTACAACCATATTTCTGGCTTTTCTTCTTAGCTTCTACATGGATAAAAAGAAGCCAATTTCTTAACTGAATATTATTCAAGTAATAAATATAAAATAAAAACCATACTCACAAACCGACAGACCATTAGTCTCTCATTTTCTTCTATGGACCAAAGTCCACCATGGGCTGGCTTTCAGTCCTATGTAATTGACTATATTGCTGAGTTCATTAAAATCATAACTCATGTAAACAATGGCACAGACACCAAGTCTATTTCCCAATTCAGAGAGTGAGGGAGATGAACATTGTATACAGGTTAGTTTAAAATCACAATTTTATCAGTTGTGCAAAATTCATCCACAATTTATTCCAATTATAAACAGTATGTTTATAAATTTGGTTTTATAAAACTACAAAATGTCCCAGAATTAGTTTGTCTAATACCATCACTAGACTTTTCATTCAAAAATAAAAAAAAAAAGTTCTAATAAACATAGACCTCAAAATGCTTCCTAATGGAATAACTCTCAATAAGGGCATACTTTTGAACAGGGTTTATGTTTATATGTATGTAGGTATGTATCTGTAAAATGATACATATTCGAGATATGCTATATTATACTCATCAAGATGGGTAGATCTCTAAAAATTGATCAGCGAACTAATAAGTTGGGGGTAAAAAAGTAATATAACTTTTACTTTTTAAAATGGAAGGTCCTCTTGTTAGATTATGATGAAACTTGCCATTTTTGAGTAAAATTGATTTTAAAAGTTGTATCACCTTACGAATACTTAATAGAAAACATTTTCGAACCTATCCTACCTACATATTAGAACTTTTCACTTGTTTTTGAATAAACGTGTTTGTACTAAAATTAGTGGGTGATCGTTTAAATTTTGAAAATTACTCTCCGCCTTTAAACTACTTAAAGTTCGCAACATGTATAGACATTTTTTACAATTGTTTTATAAAACAATCTATTAATCCATCTCATGTATCGTTTAAAAAAGTATACAGGAAAATCAAATTTAAATATGTATTGAATTCGGTTGATTACATTACTCTTTAGTTTTAGAGACTGTTATCTAAAAAATAATCAGCATATATTAAGTAGGTACCTACGTACAGTTTGTTTACTTTCAGATTATAGTTTTAGATTATTTTAGAACAAAATGAGATATATAATACTCGATTATAAGCAAAAAAAAAAAGATTAAAATAAGTACTAGTGGCAATGCAGGTGAAATTAAACTTCAGTGTTATTAAATTCTAAAAGTATATTTCGTTTTATACTTTTTAAAATGCAATTAATACCTTGTTAGTAGTAAAAGAATTGCATATGTTCATCAGTTTTATTTTTGTCAGATCATTTTATCCTCGGTTTTATCTTACTAGCAAGGCAGAAATGTGAAAGACAGGACTAATAAATAATTTTGTGTTACACTTATAATAGTTTATCTTTCAATGACAAAGATAAACCCATCACCTTGTATCGAAAATGTAAGAAAAAAGAACCTTCAAATAATATGTATTACTTTAAAATTAGGTAAAATTTCATTTCATTTCTTGCATATTCATGTAAGTGTTATAACTTTGCAAAAATTAAACTCTAGCTAAAAAGAAATGTTGATTTATTTTCAGAACATCAAGTTTATCCAAGAGAGATGATTCAGAATAAATCGTGGACAGAGCACGACATAAAAATAATGTATAAAGAAAAGTACGTAAAAATCATTATAAACATGAAAATATTTATTATTTTTCCTCGTTAATATTTAAATCAAAGGATTTTATGAATAATATGTATGATACATTATCTGTTTATTTTGAAGTTTATAAAAATAACTTTAAAGAACACTTCTTTGTGTTGCTATATTTTGTGAAGAACAAATGATATTCCATCAAATGCCATAAATTAAGTGAAAATACCAAGTGACTCAAAAATTATTTGTAGTTCCTTCTAATCCATGAAATAACACATTTTCTATTAATCCATATATTTACTCATATCTATACGTGACTGAATTTGTTTTAGATAACCACTATAAAAATAATACAAGAAGATTCCTAATTCCTTTTTTATCTATATATAAAAGCATCATTAAGTTTACAAAAGTTAGTAGAGGTATGTTCTTTTTTATTTATTTTATTTTTAATGAATTAATGTATGTACCTTTTTACATTTAATTTTCATTAAAAATATTGTTTTTATAGTCATTGAATTGCAAGCTAACAAAGAAGATCCATAAAACTTTTAAGACTTAACTTTTATGTTCTACTAAATATACTGTAATATTTTTACTCAATAATTTAAATGTTTAAGATCAAAATTTAATTATTAAATATTTTAGCATTTTTTTAAATAAATATATATTTAAAAAACATTTATGAAATAAGTAGAAATTAAAATAGTATTTTTTGATAATGAAATGTGGAGCTCACCTTATTGTTTTTTTAATGACTTCTATGCTGACAGAAAACTTTTATGAAAACAAATTTTAAAATGATATTTACAAAAAAAAAGGAAAATTTGCCGATCATGAGAAATCGAAAAATGTTGTGTTCATAATCAACTGATGTACATACCTAATCAGATGATTTTTTCTTTATACTTATTTATATTTTAATATGATACTAACATTCATTTTTTCAAATTTCGTAATACCTTTACGAAAAATTAGTTTTGTGAAAAATAAACGACCTGTTTGTATCTATCAGTTCATTATAACAATAATATACAGGGTGGGCCAATGGAGACTTTCCACCCTCATTTTTTTGGTTTAAAATAAAAATCTGGGAAAACGTTTGGACACGTCGACTTTGAGGGGGAACTATTTTTCAGTTTTTTTCATCCCCGTAGCTTTAACCCCCTAGCTGGGGAGAGAAC